TTGAAATTCCACGGACCTTCAATAGAACTCACGAATATTACATAGCGGTCGGTAGGTCACTTTTCAAGACTAACCGGAGAGGAGAGAGTTTGCACTTTTTCGGCTTGCGGTTAAAAGTTTTCTTCCTACTCAAAGGAGTCTCCTATTACTGATTGTACCTAAATTGAAAGCCCAACTTTTCAATGAAAATATGCTCTTGTAAGGAGATAATTCTTCGGTCTTAATATCAGTCCAACGTTACATTTTGTATAGAAACAGCTTGTGCACCATGATAGCTGAACAAACAAGCTTCCAATCTTAAACAATGGAAGTATCAAAGAGAGTATTGTGGTCAAACACAAAGACTTGCCAACTGAGTCACTAGAACGACACGTACAACATGTTTGGCTTGTGTATAAATCAGGACTGGTCGTGGAATTGAAGCCATACTATACTAAGGTCGACAGCGAAGCTACTCTACTGAGTCGTCGTGATAAGCGTTTATTCGTCATGTTAGGAGTGGCTGTCTTCGCGCTTTCCTTGTGTTCTGTTTGGTGTGAATATGTACAAGGTAATGAATATGATGGAATGGATAAAAAACCTATCGACAGTGTGATAAACATTTCCACACTCTTTTCCATAAAAACTACTTGTGGTATAGTTCAAAACGTTGAATTTTTAAATAAAAAATGAGTACTTACGATGCTCAAAATTCTTATTTTCGTACACTTTGAAAAATTTCAAAACTATTTCAATTGATCTGGCAAACCATTTCCTTGATAGGAAATTTCACTTTTTGGATGGAAAGGCCGCGCAAGGGAATTTCCACGTCTTAAATTAACACGTTTTAAAGTATGGTCGTAATAATTTCCACTTGGATGGAAAGCCTTTGTCGCGATAGAATTTTCACAAATTTTACTTCTGTCGTTTGAGACCGTTCTGTAGACTTGACCTAAAGTTCTATAGAACTTTCCAACATTTTTAGTTTTTAAAAACTTGTTATTAGATGAAGGTGATTCGATGGTTGGGGATATGCGGCTGACCCCACAACAACGCATGTTCATCGAAACTGGAATAGCATCACGTGGTACAGTGACCAAGCCATGGCCTAACAACGAGGTTCCTTACGTCATYGATGGGTCGGTTGGTAAGTCGATAAAGAGGCCCTCCCAGGGGGGGTTAAAGTTTCCATGTTCTTCAGTAATTTTTCTGTTTGATCCCTTGTTCCTTATAACTCGAAATACAAAAATCTTGTCAGGTTTGTTCCCCCAAAATTTTTTTTCCCACTAACTTGTTTCCTTGTTCTCTGAAAGTAAATGGTCATGTTTCCTTTTTCCCTCAAACCCCCTCATATAATATCCCTCGTCAATTGGTGTTTATTAATCTTCTCTATGTTTTCATTTTCCCCCTCCTTACCTTCGTTCATTGTTTCCTTGCTTGCTTAAAATATCTTTGAAACGAAAATCAAAAAAAAAAGAAAAAAAAGGAAATGTATAAACTTCAGTAAGTACAAATTTCAGGTCACCCATCCAGGTACGAACCTCCCTCAACCGGGCATGACTCTGTATCATGAAAGCCCATGTTTTTTCCACTGGACCACGGTTCCAGGTGAATCAGCATAACAATAGCCGTAAAAACAATGCACCGGATAGACTAGAATTTTTGACATATTTTCAACCGATTCCGTGCGTGGCAGAGATGCAAGGGATCAGCCGATATGGTCTGGGGGCCGGCTGGTCTCTCCCCTGATGCTTCGGCTAGAACATTTTCTTGCGTAATTCGTACACCCAAGGGCAGAAGGATTTAATCGCCGTCAGGTCCGAAGTCCATACGACGCCCCAGCTCTGCGGATGTCTCGGGGGTATGGCAAAGTGGRGTCGWTTTTTTTTCTTTTTCTCCTTTTTTTTTTTTTTTTTTTTTTTTTTTTTTCTTTCTCCTTTTTTTCTTTTTTCTTTTTTCTTTTTTTCTTTCTTTTTCTTTTTTGTGCAGCTCGTCTAACATGCTGCATGTCTTTTATGTGCCACCGTATTAATATTTATTAAATATTTATTAATTGTTTGTTTCCATATATTTTCTAATCTCGTCCAGCTGGAGCAAGAGGCGTCATCATGAGCGCCATGGAAGAATGGTCCAGGAAAACTTGTATTCGCTTCAAACCAAGAACCAATGAACGAGGATTCATACGATTCTTTGCCGAAAAAGGGTACGTTACTATACTACCCGGTATATATAACCACCCGATATATATGCTTCCTTGTGACCGGGTACCCCGTACTCTTAGTTGAATCTCCTGGACCCTGTTATGCCGTGTTGCTGAACGGTCATCTTTTCATTTACCTCCACCCACCGCGACCACCCGATATTCTTCCTTGCCATCGGGTACCCTGTACTCCTGTTCTAAACCCTGTTAACTATTTAGTCGATATATAGAACAGTCATCATCTTTCCAACTTTCTCCACCCTCCGGCTACCCGGGATCCTTGTCACCCGGTACTCCCCCTCTAACATCAATGTTCTTTTAAATACCTTTTTCTAGCTGTTGGTCAAATGTTGGTCACCAAGGTTACGAACAACGAATAAGTCTCCAGGCCAGAGGATGTTGGCATCATGGCATAGTTGTTCATGAAATCGGTAAGAGATCGGTTGATCGATTAGAATTCGGCAAGCAATCGGAAAGGTATCGGTAAATAAATTAAAAACTTCCATGCAGCGATGATAAAATCACAGTAACAAGTCCCCTTATAATGTAGAGTCATGAAATCGCAATCGATAACTTATCGGGGATGTCGATAAGAGATTGGCTAGAGAAAGCAAAATCTACTTATTCACTAACAATATTGCTCTGTAACGCAATCATGTCTTAGGTCACGCACTTGGTTTCTGGCACGAACAAAACCGACAAGACCGYGACACCTACGTCACGATTCACCATCAAAACATCCAACCAGGTAGGAATACTGCTGTGCTGTGTACAGTTATAAAGCACGCAGGGATTGGCACACGCGAGAGAAGTGTTAAAAAGCAATACGACAAGTGGCTGTTATTTTGGACTCAAATGACGAAAAATAAAATGCGTGCACGAGTGCTCTGTACTCTCATAAAGCCTGCGCCCCAACCAATCAGAACACGAGGTTTATCTAGCAATACTTTATGATTACGAATAAATGCGCTTAAGTGCTGTGTGCTCTCATAAAGCACTTGCCCCCAACCAATCAAAACGCGAGATTTGACATTAATTTCTGATTACGAAAAACGTGCGCGCACGTGCTCTGTGTTCTCATAAAGCACGCGCCTCACTGAGGTTTATAACAGTTATACTTTATGTCTAGATGCTAGAAGCAACTTCTTCAAGCTTCGTTCTACCTCCACGAGTACTCCTTATGACTATGGAAGCATCATGCATTACGGCGCCAAGGACTTCACCATCAATGGAAAGCTCACTATTGAAGTCAAAAGAAAAGGGGTAACATTCATCCCAACTCTACCCCTGTGAGTTATGATTTGCTCCCTTGCCACAGGTAGTCCAAAAAGAAGGCTTAGTTTACATTTTTATTTGATAGGTTTCGATTGGACAGCGAAATGGACTCAGCGAAATGGACGTCATGCAGGCTCAGATACTTTTCCAATGCCCTGCTGGTAATAAAGTTAATAATCGCTAATGATATCACATTGTTATGATATTACCATATATTGATTATAACTTACCTTGAGTATTATTACTTTCTTTACTATAGGAATGTTTTTCAGCTA